TCAATAGGGAGGACAGATTTGAGCACAGCCAGTTTTTCATGAAGGATGCCGTGATGCTTCACACTAACATAAATCAACAATTCCATCTCTGCATTGGCGCTGACGCAGAATTAAAAATATGTACTTGTATGCCATCAAGTCACATGGCCAGAAGAGATCAGACTTGTCCTAACCTGGCAGCATGACGGTAGCAGAGCAGTGCTCTGGAGAAGCAACAATCTTGCTGACTGCATAAAAGATGAGGCTGGGCAGCCACAAGATCTCATCAAGCTTTGACCTTCACTTAGGCTGGCTGCATTGTCTTCTGTTCCGTTTAGCAGTACTCTTAAAGAGCAAAGAGGCAGACAGTATTTCTATAGATCCAATTATACTCTCAGCTAGAAACAAACCAAGGAAGGCAATCTGTAAGTATCAGTCTTCCCATCATATTCACACAGGGTTCCTATAAAAATAATTTTACTTACTTCAAAGATTGTGTTGTAGCTTTCCTATCTATTTGCACTTGTTTCTTTGCCTCTTTCTTGTCTTTTTTTTCTAATAGCCAGCAGACATGGATGAATCATGTATTATTTGTAATAACAACTCACTAACAACCCTACCCCAAAGCAGCGAAAATTGGAGAGCGCAATGCGACTCCGAAGAGTGGTTTAGCAATTCCTCTCTACCCTGCCACTGCAGGAGGTTTGAAGATTTTGATAATCTCATATTTACTCTGGTCCCTCAGTTCCAATGGCAGAGCAATGAGAGAATATGGTAGGTTGCCGCAGTGCTACCGGGGCTCAACAGTGCAACAGTAGGGAACGGGATGCACTGAGACCGAGACACTCTGCCAGAACATAGTGTGTGTGGGAAGAGAAAAGCTGGTTTCTCGCCCACCTATGCGTCACAATGCCTACTTCTAGCCAGTTCCGTCTGCCTTCCTATTTGTTCAGTCAAATAATATTAGTTATTAAAAATATGACTTTTCCTATATATGCGTATCTATAAACAGCACACATCTGTCTATATGTGAGAAGACACACTTAATACACTTCCCCATCTCAATTTTCCTACCTTTTGTACCCTTCCGTTCTCTCTCTATATTCTTCTCCCAGATACGCTTGGAAATTGTCAAATGGCAATTAACACAACTGAACCTAGATGGAGGCTAATGTTTTAACTGCAGACAACAATATTTGGGGAAACGGGGAAGAAAGGACAAGCACCATGAGCTCCTATCTCTGTATGTATGCCTTGTGCTGTGCAACGTAAGCATCAGCAGAATCCACTTTATCCCCCTTGGTGGGAGATAACCAGAGCCAACATGTTCTATGTGCTGGTCTGTGTAGTTAGTCCTGAGAAAGAGTATGTTTATAACTACCAAAATTCTACTTTTCACACAATAGTAAATTTAAACATGTCTTTTCCTCCAGTGCACATGCAGGAGGTAGGGAGGCAAATTTCCTGAACTTTACACATCAGCCCCTTAAAATAAATCCTTCCTTGACCACTGCCACTGAAGACACTGCTTAAAAAAGTCTCGTCAAGCATATGTTCGCTTAAAGGCCATTATGCTGTTATGAATCAAAATTCCAGATGCTAAACAAATGCCAATTAGCAGTATTAAAAAACCAGATGCCTTGTTCTGAGTGCGTACTACTGCCTGGTGTTTGAAAGGAAAAAAAAACCTGCACAGAACATGCTGGAAGCCACTGTCCTATTGAGAAGACAGCTTTTAAATAGCTTTTCTGAGAGGCAAACTTAAAAAAGCTGTAAAAGCAACTTACTATGAAAGTCTCAGCATAATTTTCTATCAGTATGGAAGAAGGTTAAGCTGTCCCCTGCCTTAAGCTGCTTTCTGTTAGAAATCCAAGCAGTGAGTAGAAGAGGTGTGGCACAGAGTCAGGTCCACGGAAAGAATAACTGAGACAGCACTACACTGTAGCTGCCTACAGCCCTCCAACCTATACCCTAGGTGTCAATGTTTGGAAAAACAAAAAAGCAAGTTCTCTTATTAATCTCCTTTATATGTACAATAAATCCGTCAAATAAAGATGACCTCACACACACAAGTTTAAAGCCATTATAGGCACCCCTTACATCCTTCACTTGAAGCTCTTCTCAGACCACTGATCTGAGACTTCCATGAGGTGCCCAAGTCATCTTACCTACTTCTGAGAGCTGGGAAATTCTTAATATAAATCAAAGGAAGAAACATGATTCCTCCCCATCTTATCATCCACCTATTAGATGTGTGCCAATCCACAAAGTTAACAAGGTATTTTATTTCAGTAGTTTTGGCTTGAGCTCATCTGTATTCTTAAGCAATCTGAATTCTATTTGCAGCTTGCTGTTTTAAACAGATCAGAAGTTGGCATGTTTTAAAACAGGGTGATCTCAGCCCCAACTTGCACCATAACCTGCTAAGGAGTAACAGCATATAAATAGGTTATTCAGAGCAAAACCTACAAAGCCAGAAGCCTTGTCCCTATGAGAAAGACAGGAGGGTGCATTATGCTCCTGGGTATACAGGTGGCCAGGCAGACAAAGAAGTGTAATACCAGCTACACATGGCACAAATAGCTTCTAGTTTTTTTGCTGGTTTATGCCCAAGAAAGGCAGACATGTACTGCTTCCTGAGCCTATTTGCCAGAGTCCTAAAAGCCCAATACACTGCCAGGGGAAATGAGAAACATTCTGCAAGGCTCTTGTTTTGAAAGGGAGCAGGAGCTAAAAAGTATTAGAGAACTATTAGAGAAGAATTAGAGAAACATTAAAACATTACTTAAAAGATAGAATCAACATTAAAAATTTGTACAAAAATGAGGAACAAAGAAAAAAGGAGGCATATAAAATAAACATTACAGATAGTAATCAAACACTTCTGATATGTAGCTTGCAGTTGTTAGACAAAGACTATGACAATGCATGTATACATCTAAAGGCTAGTGCAATTACTTATAGATGAAGACAAAGACGACAGAGAATTTCTTATAAATGGAGACAAGAATAGCTAGGATAGCTAGGACTTTTGAAGGCTCTCAGGGCTCAGAAATCCTCCTGGAACTGTGTGGACCATGGGCTCACCATAAAAATCTCAGAACTTAACATAACAGAATGTTCTTGTGACATCTTCACATGCAACTAGACCAAGGCCCTTTTTTCCCCAAATACCACCCAGAAAACAGGCCACTGAAGTGAGAGAGCATCATTCATAGCATCACAGAATAGCTGAGGTGGGAAGGCACCTCTGGAGATTGTCTAGTCCAACCCCCTGCTCAAAGCAGGGTAAACTAGAGCAAGATGCTTAGGACCGTGTGTCCAGTCTGCTTTTGAATATATCTCCAAGGACGGAGACTCCACAACCTCTCCAGGCAACCTGTTCCAGTGTTTGATCACCCTCACAGTGAAAAAAGTTTTTTTTCTTATGTTTAAATGGAATTTCTTATATTTCAGTTTGTGCTCGCTGCCTCTTGTCCAAAGAACCTGCCTCCATCATCTTTATTCCCTTCCATCAGGTATTTATACATTGCTAAGATTTCCCTCTGAGCTTTCTCTTCTCAAGGCTAAGCAATATATTCTGCTTTAACCGCTACTTCAGTTATTTTTTGAACTAGAGGAAAATGTGATTCATGGGCTTTCAATAGACATTAGAAGTTCAAGTTTTGTTCTGACAAGAAAGCATTTACAAAAGAAAAATTATTCATAATGAGCATAGTCAAACATCAGAACAGGTTGTCCAGCAAGACTGTGCAGCCTGCATCCTTGGAGGTTTCCAACACCTGCCTGGAGAACGCCCTGAGCAACCTGATATAAGTTGGTCCAGCTTTGAAGAGGGGGATAGATCAGAGACTTCTGGAGGTCCCTTCCAATCTGTATTATTCTATGATGCTGAAAAGGGACCAAGTATGGATACTCAGTATATTCACTGCTTCCTCGGTCCCTTTTTCAATTTCAGTAAATCACGAGTTTACAGGTTGCTTTAAACACCATATATTTTATACACTGACGAACCTTAATCCTTTTAAAACTTAAAATAGGTCTCATAAAATAAAAAAACAGCCAAGCATTTAATTTTTAAAATGATACAATGTAGGATTTAATCAAAAACCGAGTTTCACACACATTTGGATCTAAAGTGAGCTAGGAAATGTGCTTAAAAGGGATGAGTGCTATCTAAAGCAAAGCAAGAACATATACACTAAGGTACAGAAATGGTACTTATGTCCATAGAGAATATACAAACAACCCACATGTTCACTAGATAGTTCTTCCCCTGTTTTTCCTCAGGTTTTAAAGTAGGCAGATTACTTGCCAAAAATAAAGAGGGGTATGAAAATATTTGCAATATTCAAGTTAGATATTTTAAAACACAAACAAATATTGTTAAAAAATTACTGAGCACCTCGTTTTAACTTGAAGCATTTGCCCTCAGTCTAATAATAGAAAGGCCTTTGTGCTCTTGGATACACTGACCAAAGACTGACACAAGCAAGAAAATCCAGACTCTAGCTGAAAAAGTCTCATGCAGACTCACAGTCAACCAAACTCATGACAAAAACTGAAGAGCTAAAGAGCAATTAACACACCTGCAGAAATTTCATCAGCTTCTGAGTAAACTATAAAGCCATTTCAATTTTCTATGTACTTCATTGGCATGAGGGAAAAATAACATGCTATCACCAACCTAAAGTAACTTTTTTCCTAGTCAAAATTGAGTATGTAATGCAATCCCTGGTGGCGACTTCAAAAGTATCTATATAGGTCACTGCCCACATTAACACCAATGTTTCACTATTTGCAACTTTAGATCAATCCAATGAAAATAAGCAAGTTACTGATCTACCAGAAATCTCATTGATAATACATGACAGTTGATAGCAACACCGCTTGGTCAACTGGAAATATTAACTAGTCTTTTTTTCCCCCCCCCAGAGTTTAGTTATACACTGTGATATTTTGATCTCCTCCTCCTATTCAATGAGAAAAAAAATCCTCCTTTGCAGGAAAGGCACACTTACTGGCACTTTGAAAGGAGAAGTATTTGAAGCATCCATGGAGTTGGTTTTCTCAGAGGTGCTGGTCCCGGAGATGCTCCGTCTGCGAGGAGATCTCTCTGCTGGGACCTCTGAGGAAGAGAAGAAAAAGAAAGTGAATGGGTGCCGGGGGGGTGGGGAATAGTCAGGTTTTATGCTCTATAGGACAGTCGCCTCAGCAAAGTTTCAAGTGCATTACTAAACTGCTGAGTTACACTCACCTAATTTTTCTATAACTTATTTACTTACTAAATTACAATAGCATTTCCACTGACAGGTTGTGAATCCGACTTGATTGTAGGCAATAGGCAATTAAAATAAAAAATGCTGATAAAGATCAATACCCAAACATATTTAGTATTCTGTTACTGTCTGTGAGACAGTATTCAGAGAACTTTAATTTTTTTTTTTCTTTTTTTACATAAGCAATGCAATAATTAGCAGATAACTAAAATCAAGACACAGGGAAGCTCAATTTTAGTCACAGCTGAACACAATTTGACAAAGGTCAAAGTTCGGTCTTACATGATCACACTACTTGCTCAAACCATGTAACCAGCAGAAGACTCATAACTGCCCGGGTAATATGACTTATATATCTCTGCAGATAGAAAAAAAATAGGTCAACTTCTCATTCTGGCAATATGACCTTATTAAGATATGACTTTGGCATCTTAAATCCATGCAGACTGATCTTGATGAGCGCAATTATTAATAAAAGATGCACTTACATCTTTTTCTAGTATAAATACTAGAATAATAGCATAATAAAGTATAAACACTATTAAAAATCTCTGCACAAACACACATATACTGTACATATATGCATTTTTATATATAGCTAGATACACATACATACAGATACCTTTATCACAACTGCTGCCCATCTCCAGCTCAATTGCCAGACTTAAAGGAATCCAGCTTCACAAAACATCCCCCAACACGGGGAGGGAAAAAATCACTTCCTAGCAGAAAGTCCATTGTTATCTTCGAAATCTTAAAGAAAAGGAGTAAGCCGTGACTCCAGACAGTGACATTTTGACTCCTGCCGTTTTCCTTTCAAGAGACAGATGCAGCTTAAACTTCCATTTCTGGCCGCCTGGCCCTGGGGATCCGTGCTACTTCCACTTAAGAGAAAGCTGGGTCTCTACGTTCCCCCTCCCTTCCCACAGCTTGCAGAGAGCAAGTGAGCGAGCAAGTGAAAGAGAAACACACAGGACTGCAGCTATTCAATCAATCGCTCCGACTGCACATCCTCATTAGTTACTTTCAGGCTATTAACAGACGCCCAACTGCCGGCTTCCCTCTGCTACAGAAAATTTCACTGTATCTCCTGATTCACAGCAGCAAAAAAGGTTTACAGAGATAGACAGCCAGCTGGTGCCACGAGAGCAGTGTTTTCCTCAAAACAACCGAAGAAAAAATGAGAAAAGCCTTCTTCAGGGATAACATTACTTGTGATGTCTTTGCATACCAGATTTTGATTTCACCAGAGTTATAATACGTATCTCCCATGGATGCTTGAAGAATGACAAAATGGAGCATACTGAACGATAGACTAAGAAATCTGGACCCTGCAGTATTAGTGTCTCACAGTGTGGATATTTATCTTTTAAAAAACCAAACCGCTAACATTCAGCCTCTCAATCGGCTTGTAACCATCAATGGGGAAAGAACTGCTAAGAGGGAGAACAGTCTCCTAAACTGGGCAAACAAAATCTAACACACAATGTAGCTACCACTGGAAAATGGGCAGGGCACAGCTGCTCACTGCCGACCATGAGGATGATGCACAAGCCCTGCTCGCACCGACCAAGTAAATCACGGTCTGTCAAAGCTCGCAATAACTGCGATAGAGCAATACCACTTTCGGGGAGATTTCTCCTTCAGCTGATAAGCAGCATCGGGCACTTTCTCTTACAGCTAAGGAGGCATCGGCTGTTCCAGTGCTGGAGGGTAAGTCCCTGTCAGGGCACCTTTAGAGAACAAAGCGCTTGGAGCAGGGCCAGTGCTAGACTAAGGTTTTTGAATAACGGTCAGTCCCATCATCTCAGGAGCCTTTACAGAGGTTGCTAGTTTTATCTGAAGATGTGCTCTTTTATACTGCCAGCCTCCTCCCCCTGCCTTCTACGAAGGGACACTTATTTTCTGCAGCACCTGTAAGTACTGCTCTCCTAAAAAGAGCTGTATTACATAGGATTTAAATGATTGCTTCTGCTGTTCTCACTGTAAATGTAATGAAAGCAAATGGGAGTGATATATTCACTTGGAACTGGGGACTAAAGAGAGCACCTTTTATTTTACATCAAATAGTAATGCGTAACGTAATAGGTTTGGCTTTCTCCACTTCTCACACACAGGAAATCACATCAAAGCTGCTTCAGTAATTTAACACAGTCTGTTAACTTTGCTGAGTCATAAATGAAAACAGGAGCCTGAATTCCCCACTATTTTCAACAACAGGTTCTGCAGGAGGGACAGTTTAGGAAAAAGTTTAAGTTTAAACCAAATGGAGTTGAAAAGCTACAACAAGGAACTGGGTCTCCTTGCCTTCCCTCTCCCCCCACATCCACCCAGCAGCAATTCAAGTTCTCTGCAAATGAAACACTGAGATTCCATTGGTAAAATGAGTTTCTTCTATTCTCAGACCACCACAGAAGTGTACCAAATGGGAAAGCGAATATGAAATATTCACAAGGTGCCTGCAATGAACTAAAAATAAAACTACCTTTCCCTCTCTTCTCCTTCCAAAAAACAAGAGCAAATAAACAACATGCTCATTCCCCAGGAAGAAGACGACCTAGATACAGCAAAAATGTTGAGATCTGTTAACTGGAAATCAAAAGCTAAAGCAACCTGCCTGTAAAACAGTATTTTCGCTGTCGTGTTAAAAAAAAACCAACCAAAACCAAAACCACACTATACTGTCACCACCAGGCAAAAATTTAGACAATTCCCTCCCCTGCTCCACAAGTAATGCTAGAGGCTACTCCTGCATAATCTTCACCTGCTGTAAAAATCAATGCACCTCTCATCGGCTTAGTATTAAATTACAGCTGCTTTCTGCATTGCTCACTCTCAGGGACGAAGGCTACAAATCTGAAACCCTTTTCATCCATGCTCAATCTCGGGGGG